TGTCCCAGCGCGCCGCTTCAGAGACCGGTTTCGGCCCGCGGCCCCGCCCTACCCGCCATGACCCCGCCCTCCGGGCGCCTCAGGCCCGTATTACGTCACCGGAACGTAACTGTACGTCCCGGGCCGTACGGAAATTGACGCTCAGTGACGTACTTCCTGGGCGGGAACAGCAAAAATGGCGCCAGGACCGGTGGCTGGCTGACGCCGGGGCAGGCGCTGTCAGAAGCCCTCGCTGAAGGCCCCGGGCCGCCCGGCCCCTCCCTGACATGGAGGACGTGGAGGCGCGCTTCGCTCACCTTTTGCAGCCCATCCGCGACCTCACCAAGAACTGGGAGGTGGACGTGGCGGCCCAGCTGGGCGAGTACCTGGAGGAGGTGAGGTGGCAGGGTGGCGCGCGCGGGCGGCGGGTCGTGGCCTCTGGCTAAAGAGCCGAAGGGCCGCACTCGTCTTCAGGCTCGCTCTCTTCCTCGACTCCACTTCTGGCCTTTGAAACCATTCCTCGCTGGATGCGTCTGCAGCTGTCATTGCAGTTCTGCGGGGTAGTGAGCGGCGACGGCGACTGGTCTGACGGAGACCGGCCCTGGTGTCTGTCGTAGCGGAATAGACGTGGACACATTATTTCCATTTAGTTATTGTGTGCATGCTTGGGTGTTTGAGAGATCTGAATCGCAATGTAAGAAGGGTTTATTTTGGATTTTCAAGCTGGTTTCAAGCTAGGGCCATATGCGATCCTGTTAGCATTTTATTTCTTCCACGTTTGATACATGTCTGATGTGTTAAGAATCTCTCAGCTCTGCTTCTCCATTTCGTTTCCACTCCTCAACCCAGCATAATCCGGCTTTCATTAGTGAATACTTACACATCTCTCGTCTTGATCAGCAGTGACATACGTCTTACCAAATCCAGGGGACACTAGAAATGTCATTCACCTTTGCAGTATTTATGGGGTTGGCGACTCCTTTCTGTGTTTTGTTTTTGTTTTTCTGAGACAGGATCTGACTGTGTAGTTGAGACTGCTGTAGAACTCACTGTGTAGCCCAGGCTGGTCTCAAACTCACAGCGATCCTCCTGCCTCAACCTCCCGAATGCTGGGATTACAGGCACAGGCGTGCGCCACCACATCCATCCTGATGACTCCTTTCTTTTGTAAAGTGGTGGTATCACTTTATGAGAACTTCCGGATTTGTGCCTCTGTTCCTCCAAATTTGTTGTTGTCCAGGTGCTCTCTTGACATTCACTGACATGTAAGCATCCCAGATTTGATTTAAAGAGGAGCTCTTCATCTTTCTGCCCAGATCCCATCTCCATCTCCGTGAATGGCACTGTTGTTCAACTGAAGGTGAAAGTTGAAAGGCGTTGGTAGTGGGGCTGCAAACTTCACGCTGGGTTAAGCCCTGAATTCTGTAAGTTACACCACCAGAATATCATGTGAACTCATCTGTTGTTCATTCTCTATGGCCCAGGCCTGGATCTGTTTAAAACCTTCCCATTTGTGCTCCCTACTCCCTTTTTTGACCTAATCTGATCTGTGTTCCACTTAGCAGCAAGTGTGATTCTCTTAACAATTAAAATCAGGGCAAAGCACTGCCCAAACTAAAACCTTTTAGTGGCTTTTAATTGACCTTAGAATAAAATCTAAGCTTTGTCTTCTGAGTCTGACTATTCCTACTGTTTTTGTCCTATTTCAGGCTGTTGTGTACCTTGCTCTTTTTTTTTTTTCTTTTTTGGTACTGGGGATTGAACTCGGGTCCTTGTGCTTGCAAGGCAGGCCACCGAACCGCTGAGCTAAATCCCCGGCCCTCTACCTTATTCTTTTGAAGCAGTCAACCTATGGTGCCCCAAGCTTATTTTGGGCTGAAAATCTTCACTTTTTGCTCTCACTGGGAAGTATTCTTCCAAGTCCTTTTCATCCTTTGGTCTTAGTTTAAAATGATAGCTTCACTATCTTATCTAAAGTAGTCCTGAGCTCTGTGATGGCACTTACCTACATTAGAATGTTTATCACAAGCCATTCTTCCATTTAATTACTCGTTGGCCTGTCTTTAACCTTGAAAGTAATTTCTTTTTCTTTTTCTTTTTTGGGGGGGAGGGTATGGGACCTTGCACTTTTGAGGTAGGCAGCGCCTTGAAAGTAAATTCTGCAAGGGCAGGGACCACATATATGCTCTCTTCCTTCTGCTTAGTAGAGCACCTGGCACATAATGGATGCAGAGTAAATGTTAAGTGAACACGAGATCTGATGATTGACCATCTCTGCATTGATGCACATCTGCTGAGAAAAATGCAGAGAACTTTGCCAGGTGGAGCGACTATGATTCAGGTTCCTGCCTGGAACAGGGTCCTAGGGAGCACCCAGAAATCCCACTTTCTGGCTTGATCTGTCCTCCACCTGCTTTCTATGACTGTTCTTCCCAACCTTCCCTGCCCCTGAGGTCCTGAGATGTGGCTGCTACTTTTGCCTTTTTTCTCCTTTTGTTACCAGAAAGTTTTTTTTTTTTTTAATTTTTCTTTTAAAAGTAGAAATGTTTTACATTTATTTAAGGTGGGAACAGAAACATTATGTGCGGAGTGAGGGCCAACTAAAAGTGGGAAAAGAAGTACACAGTACATGGGGAAAGCAACCACGTGAAAGAAAGAAAGCATAGTGGCCCAGAATATTCTCTAACACATCTTATGATCAATCTTACCCCCTTTCATGCATTTATATTTCTTGTTACTGTCTGCTGTGTGCCAAAAACCATATGAAAATATTAACCATATTAAAATAATGGTGAGTAAAGAGTCAGGGCTGATGTTACATGGCAATAAACCCAGAACTTAGGAGGCTGAGGTAGGAGGAGTGCCACTAGTTTTAAGGACAGCCTGAACTACACATAGAGACCTGGTCTCAAATAAAAGAAAACAAAGTGCGTAAAGCAAACAATAATCTGTGCTTTGATGGGACTTTGCTCTCATGGGAACATGAGTCCTAATCCAGCAGGCAAATTAAGGTTATAAATGTCATGCATCTGGTGCATACTTGGCCAAGGACTATTTTTTTGTATTTTACACATAGAAGTACCTGTAATCCTCACAGAAACTATTTGAAGAGGATTACACTAACAGGATTAGAGATGTCCCCAGAGTAACAGCTGATGACGGGTAGAAAGGTTCACTTTTCATTACTACGTATGTTGTGTTGTCATAAGCTTGTGACAGGCATGAGAGAAAAGTTTAGCATTGTATGAAGAGTTTGACTGGAAGATTTTGTGTGGGGTAAACGAGTTGCTTCATCCTTGAGCTGAAGAATGTTCCATACAGAGGGGGCACATTGCTGAGGTGGGAAGGCACTGGGCTCAGTGGTGGGCCTGAAAGTGGACCCCTGTGGCTATGTGCATGGAGCAGGTGACGGCTGGTGGCCAGAGAGGGAGACTGGTGAGTGTGGAGACCTCCTGTAGGGGTTCTTTAACACTTTGGGATTTTCCTAAGAGTGGTACTTTAGGCTTCTGAGTGAAGCACTTGGCAGTGAAGAGTAGTTGGGAAGGGAGTGAGATACAGGAAGAACCCTGTGAGCGCCCAAGTTTGGGTTGGGCCAGACCAGTCACTGGGGAGGAGCATGGAATTGGCAGGGGACTGGGCCTGTATTGAATGGGTAGGTGAGAGAAGGAGGGAGGGAGACCCCTGGCTGTCTGAGCGTGGGTTGTGGGCTGCCCAGACCTAAGTGTGGACTTATTCATTGTGAATCTTGGTTATGACATCTGAGTGAAGAAGACAGTTGGATACATGGGTTTGGGATTAGATGGAGGTCTAACCCGAAGCTGTGAGAACATATGTGATATGCTGGAGCAGATGAGCGCACCGGGCTGAGATTTCCCTAAGGGAAGGGCCCCTTCTTCAGCCTGGCTTGCAGGGCTTCATGCACCTCCTCTTCTTTCAGGCCAGGCTCTCAGGTTCTGGCCACTTCGTAGTCTCACACTTCTGTAGACTATAGAGAATTAGTGCATATGCCCCCCGCTTGGTGACCTCCTCCTGGATCTTCCTCTTCCACCACTGGGCTGAATATCTTGCCTGTCCAGCACACTCTATGTTTGGCCAAGTTTGTGTAATACTCGTTTTCCTAACTATATGTGGTATCTTGACTCTGCTGATTTCCTTTGCATGGCTCATTGCTCTTCCTGAAATACCATTCCTTTCCCCTGCCTGGTGAGCTTCTGTTTCTCAGGTTTAACTTTGATGTTATCTTTTCATTAGGTCATCAAATATTTACTGGACAGTAGTGTCAGGTACTGAACTAGAGGCTGGAATCATCTTAGTACTGTTCACAGTCCATTAAAAAGCAGTTCAGTAAGCCGGGTGTGGTGGTGCAGCCCTGTAATCCCAGTGCTTGGGAGGCTGAGGCAAGAGGATTGCTGCAAATTCAAAGCCAATCTGGGGTACATAATGAGTTCAAGGTCATTTTGCACAACATAGTGAGAATTTGTCTTAAAAAAAAAATGGGGTAACAAGGAGGCCCCTAGCAGTGAGAGGGACCCTGCAAGTTTCACCAGGGACAGTTGGGAGCAGGTGTACCAAGGCAGACAGCTGAAAGAGCTCCAAAAAACATGTGGTGGCTTTAAAGGGGCCAACTTCATGGGGAAGATCTTGATTTAGGTATGGAGATAAAATGTTTGGGGACCTGGGGGTATAGCTCAATAATAGGGCCTCACATGTGGGAGGCCCTGGGTTGTTAAACCCCTGTACCTACCAAAAATATTGTGGAAGTGTTTTGATCTCTGTGGAGATCCTTAGTGGGCAGCTGTAAATGTGTTCCCTGAGCTTTGGGGAGAAGATGGTCTAGAGATGAGTTTGGAAGTTGTTGGTATATGTTGGTAGCTTGGGCACAGGGT